ACCTTTTAAGAAGCCAGTGAACCCACATAGACGGGTGTTGCCCTTTAGTATTGTAGATGAAGAAACACAGCCAGAGAGCCATTCTCAAATACACCAAAGCAGTTTCCATAGCATCAGGGCTTACATGTCTTTAATTATTTTATTTAGGTGTAACAAAATCACAGCACATATAAATGTATCTAGTAATTTTAAGAGTCTCACTGTGGGTGTTTGATTTTTGTTGTTGTTGTTGTTGGTGGTGGCAGTAAATTCACCTGTTATCATTTCATAGTTACTAGTATGATGGAATTCTTTAGCTTTATGCATACTTGTTTATTATCTGTGTGGATGTGTCAGTCTCCTTTGGAAGAACTCTCTCTCTCTCTCTCTCTCTCTCTCTCTCACACACACACACACACACACACACACACACACACACACACTGGTCATTTTGGAAGAAGGCAAACAGTGACTAAAAGGCAAGGACAGGGAGGAACTCTTTCTGTCCGTTACCTAGGAGTGTGTTGATCTGTTACCTGCTCAGAATGTGGTTTGAAAGGTATCTGAGCAGGAGCTGACTTAACTGTGTGATGCTCTTTAGCATCAGCATAGAGAAGAGTCCCCCAGCACTTTTGGGTCCTTAAACAAGAAGTGGCTTTCTAGGTTGATTGTTTCCTCAAAATACTGCATATGAAGTGTGTCACATAGCTTCAAGCAAAAACAAAAACAAAGACAAAACAACAACAAAAGATCAAAAAAAGTCATGGAAGCATTTGGGAGGGTGGAGAGTAGAGAAGTTAACTCTACATGGCTTTACAGTGTAGTACAGGTGGGATTACTTTTTCCACACCTTATAAACAAAAACTCAAAATGTTTTTCCTGTAACATCCTGAAGATTCCACAGGAACCCCCCTTTTCACTCCCCAAATGCCAAAAGTAGTAATAGTGGCTCACAAAAATTAGGATTGCTTTCATCATCTTATAAAGATGATAAATTACTGTGACTTTGGGAAAACTTACCTGTGTGAACATATATGAAGACCACTAACAGACAGAAATTATACAGATAATTGAATAAGCAACTGACAGATGGAATATAACTGTCCCCAAAGAGAGCAAAATGTTTTATCTCTCATAACTAAAGAAAATTTAAACACTGCTATGTGTTCACTGGGAAGGTTGGCAACTCCAGAAGAATGTTAACCTGGCCTTCTGAGAGAGGAGGAAGCAGGCCCACTGAGCCACCGTCAATAAGTACATAAATGCTTCCTTAGAAAACCAGTGGGGAGTAATCAATGGGGATTACACAAGCCATGGACTTGTGTGTCAAACTCATTGTGTTAGGGGGTATATCTATCCGCTTGAGTCTGGGCTGTCTCATGACCTGTTTATGACCAGAGGGACACAGTGGACATGATCTTGAGCTAGTTTTGAACTTCGGATTCTAGGAGCTGTGCATTAGGTGTCTATTAGTCTCTCACTACTGGTGATCCTGAGGCAGGAGATAGAGGGACCCACCTTTGCTCATCCATATAGTCCCCACCATGATCCACTTAGTCAGTCCACAGAACCATGACACATAAGAAGTGACCACAGCTAGTAAGTTTATAATAAACAAACACAATAGGTAAGTTGGTACCAGGCTAGTAAAGCTTGGGAGTGTGACTATCAGAGTACTTGAAAAGATGAGTGTGTATGTCGCCTCCTAGCTATTTCTTTTTCAAAGTGCTCTGAGGGGGTTAATTTCTTATATCTTAAATCTCTGATGTCTTTGTATTATGACTTTGCACCTCAAAGGGCAGGTGCCATGTAATTTTCTTTTCCAGCAAATTGACTACATATTGGCTCAGTACAACACGACCAAGAACAAGGCATTCTCAGACCTGGATGGTAAGTAGCAGCGAAAGTTAGTTTGCATTTTTGTTTGCTATAGTTTGAAAGATGCCTTAACTACCTCCTATAAAGATGGCTTAGATACCTCTTATAAATCACAGACAAAATAGGGAGCAGTTGAAGGTAGAAGGCAGACAGGAAAAGCTCTAGAGCTAGTGGGTGTTTGCCACTTGTCAATGGATGATTAAACCCCAAATTTTAGGGGCTGGAGAGATGGCTTAGTGGTTAGTAGAACTTAGTGCCCTTGTAGAGGACCTACATCCTCTCTCAGCACTCACATGGAAGTTTACAACCATCCATAACTCCAGTTCTAAGACATCAAAAGCCTTCTGCTTACCTCCACGAACACCAGGTGTACACAAAGTGCACAGACATACATGCAGGCAAAACATTTATACACCTTGATTGATAAATAAATCCAAAATTAAAAAGCCACACAACATTTAAGTTCAGTTTCACAAGCAGAGGGACTTGGGTATCTGTTTTAAAATTTTACTTTGCTTATTGCAAAACCTTTACTTTCCTGTTGTCGTTTTTCATACAGAAGAGCATATGTGGCCCTGCTAAGTGCTCTGCTAAATGGGCTTTAGAAATAGCCTGTCCCTGTTCCTTGATGGACCATGGTTCATTAGAGTTCACATGCAGCTTGGTTAATAGTTCTCAACAAAAAGTGGCATTTGGAGGAATATATGGTTGGCAGGATTGGGGTGGGGCAGTGAACTGCTATCTGTTGTACAAGATGCTGCTCCTCAGCCTACAGTGCACAGGACAGTCCACCACAAAAAAAAGCAATATCTGGTACCAAAAGCCAGTGGTACCACAGTGGAGAAAACCCTAGTGTGGATGAGCTGGAGACAGTGGTTACGTGACACAGCTCAAGATGACAAACGCTGTGTTCTTCACGCAAAATCTAAGTGTCCGTGAGCCTAACTTTCCACTGGGAATGTGAGTTTGAGGATTTTGATGCAGGCAATGGCATCTCCCCGAATTAGGGCCCACAGTGAATGATCTGGAGTGGAGGATGAGACATGAGGACAGAGGGAAGATGTTTTCCAGGCGTAGGCTCCTGGGGTGTGAGGAGAATGCATAAGAACTTAAAGGGAAGCTGGCTTGCCCTCATCAACCCCTTCCCTTTAAATCCAGGTATCGATTCCTTGCTGGGAGGCAGAATAAAAGACCAGTTAAAACCCAAAGCAATCCCTGTTCTCGACGAGGTTAGCGCCATGACAAAAGGTAAGCACGGAAGCAAAAGTGACCAAGAACACCCCATCCTAGATTCCTGGCTTCCCTTGGTCACTCTTGTTGACTTGGATTTCCTCAAGAGTGCATAGGCTATGAGCAAACAAGCCTGGCAAAGACACGAGCTGTTCTGGTGTGTATGAAGTTTTTAAAAGCTTGTGCTATTAAAAGCTTATGATAATGGGAGAAAAAAAAACACTATTTGAGGTAATGGCGAACCAAAGTTTTGTTCACATGCTTATGTATGGCCTATGGCTGGTTTTGTGCAGAGGTGGCAAAGTTTGGTGGTTGTTGCGGAGACCAGGCTCAAAGAGCCTCATTTACTATCTGGAGTTTCAAAGAAAATACCTGTTGATGTGTTGGGCGTGGTAGCACATCTGTAATCCTGGCATTAGAAAGGCAAGACAAACATGGCTTCAAGGCCAGCCTGGGCTATGTAGGCAGTTACATAGGACCCTGGCTCAAAAATTAATTAATTAACTGATTAATTAATTAATTAATTAAAAGGGAGTGGCCTTTTGATATCTTCAGATATCAATTCTGCCCATCACCAACCATTTCCTTTCCAGGCTAGGAAACTCAGTGATGTAAACCTCAAAGACAGGCCAGCCTACTACTTCCCTCCCTCCCTCACTGGCTTCTTCCCTCTCTTCCTCCCTCCCTCCCCACTTCCCTCACTCCCATTCTTCTTTGCTTACCTTTGCTTGTCTCGTTGCAAAATTATTCCCTGTGGTGAACAATGGTCTCTAGTTTCCCTTCCTTTCTTTAATAAATTATTTATTATTGTTGTGTATGTGAATATATGTGCATGAGTCAGGTGTGTGTGAGCCACTAGGCACGGCACATGCATGCCAATCAGAAGACAGTTTGTGGGGTGTGGCTGTGAGCACAGGTTCACGTGAGCCACTCAGCACACTTGTGGCAGTCAGAACACAACTGTGGGTTGATTCTCTCCATTTACCTTTAAGAGAGTCCCAGGGACGGAACTTAGTCTGTCAGGCTTGTGTGGCAAGCACCTTACCCGGAGCTACTGTGCCAGTTGCTCTTCCTCTACTAGAAAAGGTATCAGTTGATTCCAACCAGTACCCTATCCTGAAGACCTGTTTTTCACTTTTTTAATTAAAATTTTTATCTATATGAGTGTTCTTTCCTGAAAGATTGCTTTTGCACCATATGTGTGCTTGATGTATAGGGAGACCAGAGGAGGACATTAGATCCCCTGCATCTGGAGTTACAGAAAGCCTCCATGTAGGTGCTGGGAACTAAACACAGGACTTCTGCAACTGCAGGAAGCACTCTTAACCACTGAGCTGTTTCTTTAGTCCCTACCCCCATTTAATCTTAATTAACATTCTGCAGTTCCTCATATGATTATACTGTGGATTAAGAATTCCTCATAAGAATTTGGGGGACTGTTCAGTCTGTAGCCATCAGCTGGCTGGGAAGTGATAGAGTTGGATTTCAGCCCTTGTCTAACAAAAGCCCACATACCCAGACAAGTCTTGGTGGCTGGCATCAAGAACACTGAGGAGAGCTTGGAAATAGGGTGTTGCTGTACTATTCATAGTTGCTCACTTGTATGGAAGTCAAAGAACAGCCTGTGGGAGTTGGTCCTCTCTTTTTACCATATGGGTCCCATAGATCTAATTCAGCTTGTCAGGCATGGTCTGAGCCCTCACCCGCAGAACCATCTTGCCAGCCCCCAATATTTAGTGATTGAGTTATGTGGTACTTTCTAGATGAAAGATGAAGTGGGTTATATTGTGATTCATGTAGTATTAAAACTCTTTTTAAAGCCAATTTGAAAAAGTCAGTTTGTTAAACTTACACCGTGGCCAGAAATGTGCTTTAAAATATGCTCAGTAAAGCATTTCAGCCAATTTTCTGTTACATGGAAAACAAGCTTATGTGTTTTGTATGTTATGAGATATCCTGTAGAGAAGACCCCATGGACATGGGCTCATGCCAATAGAACATCTTTATTAGCTGGCTGCCAGCTACACTGAGTGTTCAGCACAGGAGTTCAGTCCCAAGCTTTTCTCAGAGTAAGCATTTAAGTACAAAAGCCACATCCTAGGCTGACACCTCAGTAAGGAAGAACAGTCAGCCAGAAGCAGAACTACAGAAGCCAAAAAGCTATGTTAGTACATTCATTTGGGGACTTTTCCAGAACTATGAACATTGATGGATTAGGTCTTCTTTTTATTTTATTTTGGCAGCCTACCTGCTAGGTTCCAAAGCCTGAATGGTACTTCCATCATGGTGTCAGCTATGCTAAGGTCTGGGGATCTCTAATGCATGCACTTTGGAAATGTAACAGAAACATATACAGAAACATAACAGATGCATGAGCACATTACATGTGGGCTGCAGGTCAGTCCACAAGAAGAGCTTCGGGCTGGTAAAAATGTTAATTGGATGAAATTAAGAATCTGAAAGTTCTTTTCCACTTTCTTCAGATGCCTGCAGCCTGGGATCATCAAATGATTCTGAGTTACAACTCTATACATATCTTAGAGGCATGGCATGCTTTGAAGTTTTTATGAAGTATATATTTATAACTACTGAGTTCTTCCTGGGCCCTAGCAGAATAGTACCCATAACCCAGAATGTCTCTAAATGGTGACCAAATAAACATGTTTTTACTGGGCCATCAGTATATTTTATGACTTGCCTTTCTTTGTTTTTGTTGTTTTGTGAACCAAGATAGCTGAAATCAAAATATAGGACAGTGAGGTGAAACTCAGTCCCAGAAGCCAACATGTGTGCTCTCTCATTATCCTCTTGTGTTCTGCTCTGTTTGCCCCAGGCTCTTTTTCCTTTTCTAGTGTTAAACAATTTTACAGAGTCTCTGTATGCTATGGAGTATAGTAAAGAAACTACCAATATGGCCACTCCATTATTGGGGGAAGGTTTTATTGTGAGTAAGAGAGAGAAAATATCCAGAGGCATCTGAAAGAGTCCAGAGCGGGGAGAAAAGGAAATAGACGGGACATGGCCAATGGACTGTACATGGGAGAACAGGGGTGGGGGTGGACATGCATGTGGGAAAATCACATGGGTTTTAACAAGGATAAGAAGCTGTGGGGAGGGAAGCCCATGAATGGGGCAGGCCTGGAGTTTTAGGAAGGGTAGAGGAGGAGGTAAGAAGGGCCAGGATGCTACTGCAAAGGACACTGGAATCAACAAGTACTTAAGGACTGAGGGAGCCTGGAGACTAGCATGGACCTTGATATGCTGATAGGCATTACAAGTATATGTCAATGGAAAGCCATATGTGCCTTCTGTCAGAGATAAGGAAAATGACTACCTTTTGAGGCTAAAAGCCAATGAATACTGGCTTTTACCTAGCTGCAAGAAATCCTTCTATAGTCCAACTTGAGCTCACTTCTGTACTTTTTATATATGTACTTTTTAAGACCTGACTAGGGCAGGGTCTAGGTAGGAAGGAGTGGGGCGAAGCTGACCTCCAATATGCTCTTTGACAGTTTAAATATTATTGAGGTGTACTTAGAACAAGTCAAGAGCAAAGATTGAAGCGGATTTCAGGATTTTTCTACTTGGATAAGGTGATAGAATTCTAGACCAGGGGTTGTACAGCCCAGCCCTGGATGCCTCCTCTAGGTTCTGTGTAGATCTTTAAAGCTAAGTGGTAGCATTTAGTTAGGCTAATTCACATCTCCTAAGAGCTGAGGTGTACCTACTGCCTGTGAGAACACAGCCAAGAACCACAGACTCTTGGAGTTCGGGAAACCCAGCTCACTAATTCATAGCTGGGTAAACTGAGGCCCTTAGAGAGAGGGTTTGTTACAGATACTGATAGGTAAATGTAGAACTATGACCCCAGGTTACTGTCAGTGAGATCCCATGACAAAAGAGTATTAATTCCCCTTCCACTCTGTGTGTCTCTGTATTTGTGTGTGTGTGTGTATACAATTTTAACACTCACATTTACCAGCTTATCAGAGAAGAGTAAAGTTACAATTTTTTAAAGGGAATTCACCCTATTCTTTGTATCATTCATTTGCATCCTGATGTTCTCATATCTGTTTTGTGACTCACAGAGCAAAGACCTGTCCAGGAAGACTTACTTGGCCAGAAGAACATGGCTGCTAGTTTAAATTTCTTGTCTTTTATTTGTGTGGCTTTAAGCCACTATAGAAAAGAGATTTTATTACCTCCTTCTGCTTCAGTGGGGGCTCCCACTGGGTCTCTAACCTCAGAACAAATCCTGATAGCAAATAACAAGATTATGTACTGGGTTATGGGGCTCACAAAAGAAAACCCAGACTCATTGCCTCTGAGAAGTTTCAGTTTGATTGTTCTAATCTCCATATCACTTGCCTACTGTGAACCTCAGCATTTTAACATGAGAAACTGACACAGAGACTTTCAGTAAATCTATATCTAGAGTCACATGAAGTAGGGAAACTGAGATCTTGTCCTAAACTTGACTGGATTTACAACTGTGCCCTAAGTTGCTCTAACCTTAATTCTAATCCTTTGTCTTTGTTGTTTTTCAGTCATTTATATAGAAATAGTAGATTAGCTACTCTTCTGTTGCTATAATAAAATGCCATGACCAAATGGAACTTGGGCTTGACAATGGCGGGGAATATGTTATGGCATCAGGTCTTAACCACAAAGGAAACAGAGACCAAGGGACAAGACCATAAATGCTCACCACCCACCCCAGTGATATACTTCCTACAGAAGGGCTTTACATCCTAAAATTTCTATAGCTTCCCCCAAACAACACCATCCACTAACTAGCAACCAAGTTTTCAAATGCCTGAAATTGTGGGGAACATTTCTCATCTAAGCCACCACATTGCACTCCTTGGCCCCACAAGCTCCTGGTCATATCATAATGTAAAATGCCTTTAATCCAACTTCAAAAGTCCCCATTGTAAGTGTTACAGCTCTGATAGAGAAGTATTCTGACACTCTGGAGCCAAGGAATACCACAGGTCAAGTAAGCATAGCAGCTTACAAGCTGCTCCAAGGAAAGGTTTCTCCAATGTAACAGCCCTGCAACACTCTGTTCCACTCTGCCCAGGCTCCCTCTCTGCTCCAGCAAAAGAAGGTCTCACCAAAACCTCATTCAAGAGATTTACTGGGAGGGAAGAGTCTAGGAGAGTGGCTGCCTCTGCCAGGGTGGAAGAAGACAGCAGCAAATCAAACAGTTGCTTTTATAGGGCTTCTTCAGGGTGGAGCTTTTCTGGGGAGAAGATTCTCAGGGTAGGAATTGGTCAGATTTCAGTCTCTTGAGCTCAGATTGGCTAGATCTCATGCTCAGGGATTGGTTGCTTTTCTGCTTAGGGATTGGTTTGTTTTCTTGTTCAGGGATTGGTTGGTTTTCTGCTTAGTTTGTCAGGGACAGATTTGGCTCTGGTTTCAGGACTGAAGTGTATTTCTTTCACTGTCACTTTTTAGCATTTTGGCTCTAATTTTAGGGCCAGGGTATGTTTCTTTTACTGACTCTGGTTTCAGGGCTAGGGTGGGTTCCTTTCACTAGCTCAGGTCTCAAGGTCAGGGTGGGTTTCTTTTACTGGTTCTGTTTCAGGGCTAGGATAGATTTCTTTGGCTGGACCTTTTACCCTACACCCATAGTCTTGAACAGTCTGAACATTTTGAACATTTGTTCAAAAGTCCAAAGTGTCTTCTGAGACTCAAAGAATCTCTTAACGGTGACCCTGTAAAACTAAGAAAAAAAAAACAAACAAATCCCAAAACAACAACAAATTTCATACTGCCAATATACAATGGTACAGGATATACATCCTATTCCAAAATGGAGGAATGGGAAAATATCTGGTGCAGCTATCCTAATATCTAACACATTAGACTTCAAATTAAAGTTAATCAAAAGAGATGAAGAAAGTCATTTCATATCGTCACAGGAAAATTCCATCAAGATGAAGTCTCAATTCTGCACATCTATGCCCCAAATACAAAGGCACCACATTCATAAAGGAAACATTACTAAAGCTCAAATCACACATTAAACACCACAGTGGGAGACTTCAACACTCCACTCTCACCACTGGACAGGACCACCAGAAAGAAACTTAACAAAAAAAAAAAGGAAGAAGAACTAACAGAGGTTATGACTCAATTGGGTTTAACAGACATCTGTAGAACATTCCATCCAAACACAAATAATATACCTTCTTCTCAGCACCACATGAAACCTTCTCTAAAATTGACAACATACTCAGCAACAAAGCAAACCTCAGCAGATACAAAAAAAAAAATTGGAATAATCCCCTGTATCTTATTAGATCACCATGGTTTAAAGTTAGAATTCAATAACAGCTCACAACTCTGCAGAAAGCCTACAAACTCATGGGAATTGAACAATGCTCAACCACATTTCTTATGGGAGAAATAAGAAAGAAATTAAAGACTTCGAAGAATTCAATGAAAATGAAAGCACAACATACCCAAACTTATGGGACACTTTGAAAGCAGTGCTAAGAGAAAAGTTCATAGCACTAAGTGCCCACATGAAGAAACTGGATAATAGTCACACTAGAAACTCAATAGCACAACTGAAAGCTCTAGAACAAAAAGAAGCAAACTCACTCAGGAGGAGTAGAGACCAGGAAATAACAAAATTGAGGGCTGAAATCAATAAAGTAGAAACTAAGAAAACAATACAACGAATCAATGAAACAAAGAGTTAGTTCTTCGAGAATATCAACAAGATAGACAAACCTTTATCCAAGTTAACCAAAAGGCAGAGAGAGGACATGCTAATTAACAAAATCAGAAATGAAAAGGGGGGCATAATAATGGATACAGAGGAAATCCAGAGAATCTTCAGGTCATACTTTGAAAATCTGTACTTTACAAAATTGGAAAATGTAAAGGACATGGTCAATTTTCTGGTTAGGTATCACTTAGCAAAATTAATTAAAAGTTTTAAGGCTAAGATTCATTTAGATTCCAGCCTCAAGATAGATGGCAGTGGCCACTGGTACCCTCAGAGCCACTCCAAGAAGCTTGAGAGACCCTCAGAGGCTTCTAGGGGAGATGATGAGGAAGAGGATGAGTCTACAGACTATGAAGTATCCCTGGAACAACTACTAAAAGGCAGGTCTTATGGGAAGATGCTTTCTAAAAGTGGTGCCATGAAATTGGAGAAGAAGATTGTGGAGAGGAGTGAGGCAGAAAGAAGGGAAACTAGAGACGCAGCAGCAGCTTGGGGTGGGTGTGGGAACATGGCTGCAGTGAACAAAGGAGAATGTAGCTGTGGAGTAGGGCAGGCAGGGTGCTGGGTAGTAGCCTGGAGCTCATGAAAAAGTGCTGCCCAGCTGCACAAACACCCTGGCTCTGTGCAACAAGATATCTGAGATGAAGAACTGTTCAGTTTCTGGATTAAGCCTCCCCCAAAGACCTCCATGGTCTGTTCTGCTTCATGGTCAAGAGGCCATCTTGACACCCATGGCCAATGTTGCCTCCAGAGTCCATATGGATGTGTGTGTGGTCTGTGCTGCCCTTAGAGTCCATCTTGATGTCAGTGGTCCGTGCTAGAACCGTGTGGAAGTCCATGATCCCTGCTGCCACTGGCTGTTATGGGCAAGGAAGCTTCTTTTGCAGTGGTATTGATAACTACAGACTCACAGTTAAGAATAAGAGACATTGCTGGGCGGTGATGGTGCACACCTTTAATCCCAGCACTCAGGAAGCAGAGGCAGGAGGATCTCTGAGATCGAGGCCAGCCTGGTCTACAAAGCCAAACAGAGAAACCCTGCCTTGAAAAGCAAATAAAAAAAATTATAAGAGACATCAAAGGCTTCTATGACAACCCTCACTGAAAGAGAAAAGGAGAGAGAGAGGAAACAGTTAAGACAGAAAATCATTGAAGAGTCTTTAAAAGTTATGATAAAGATGCTGAAGTGTAGCTCTGCAGTTGATGGGGAATGGGGGTGGGGAAGGACTCAGATATCCCTAAGAGGCTGGCCACTAGGAATTTGACCATGCTCAGATGAGTATATGGGCAACACAAATTTACTTGATGGACTTTTTTCTTTGGGGGTGGAGGGCACAAGGATGGGAGGGTGGGCCTGGGAGGAATGGGAAGTGAGTATAATCGGGGTACATTGTATGAAATTCCCAAGAAATAATTAAAATTTTTGTTGGGAAAAAAATTAAAGCTGGTATAAAAGATAATGGGTTTTCTTACGACTTTTTTCTTTTCTTCAGTTGTATATTGTGTGTGTGTGTGTTTATTTTGTGTGTGGGAGCAGGCAAATGTTAGACTTCGGAGGACAGCTGGAGAGAGTTGGTTCTCTCCTTCTGTCATGTGGACTTTGGGGACGGAACTCAGATTGTCAGTCTTGGGAGCAAGCACCTTTACTCCATGATCCACCCTTCATCATGGCTTTTTCCTAAGTATGTGTCAGTATACTTTGTTCTCACTTATTGCCCTCTCCCAATACCCTCCCTCACCACCTGTCCGTTTCTGACTGGTAAATGCTAGCTCTCTTATTATTAGTCATAGCCCTTATGAGGATACAATTGACTCTTATGTGGGTTAAACTGCTTTGTTGACTAGATAGTGGTACTCAAGGTGTTCCCATGAAATTCCTGGGTTTATGCTCAACTGCTTAATTAAAAGAGAACCATGGGGAGCCAAGCTGGGTGAAGGGGCTGGCAAGGAGCACTTGTTTCTTTTGTGTGTCCTGTCCCATTTCCCTTTGCAGCTGTCTGAGCTCATTTCCAGTTTTTTTTGAGGCACTCGTGTGGTCCACTCTGATTCTGTCTGTGTTCCTACAGCCATCAAACAGACCAGGGATGCCCTGCAGAGCATGAACAGCAGCCTAGAGAGCATAAGTGATGGAAGCACACAGCTCAGTGCCCGCCTCACCTTTGTGAGAAACAACATCGAGACTTCACTCAACAGCAGCGACTGTGCTTCAGACCCAGCCAGAAGAATCTGTGATAGCATCAGACCAGGGCTAAGCAATCTGGGGAGCAACCACAACTCAAGTCAGGTGAGCCAGTGTGAGCTTGCCACAGCCAGGGTAACTAGAGGAGGTCGAGTAGGGTTAAGACTGGATGCACCTGTCTGGAGCACAGTGGCCTGGACTGGAAAACAGTAACCTCCAATGCTCTGTGAGTCTTTTCAGGACATCGAATCTTTATGCTGGAATGGATGCAACAGAAGTTAAAGGGGGAGGGGACCTTTGAGAAGTACTAAACTAATTGATGACTTATCGAGGTAAATTCAGATTGAAAAAGAAGAGCAGAAGACCTGCTCTTCTTTAAATGGTTTGTAAAACCAGACACATGGGGATGTGGAGAGATGGCTAGATGTTTCAGCAGGAAAGAGCACTTGCTGCTCTTGGAGAGGACTTGAACTCAGTTCCAAACTCATGTCAGCTCACAGCTGCCTGTGACTCCAGAGTCAGGGGCCCTATCGTTCTCTTCTGGCCTCCACATGCACTGCATTCTCACGTGTACATGCCTCTGTATACAAACACAATACACATAAGTAAAATAAGCTATTCAAAACACCAAAACACTAAGCATATTAACAATATATTCTGGACTAGACAATTCCATTATTTTCCAAAATTTACCCCATCATTTGATATGCAAAAATTTCATATTTATGATATTAATTATACTTAATATATTGATTTAGTTATATTTACCATTCCCACTCTATATAAAATATTATTTTAACATAGGCAATAGATAATTCCACTTTACCAAAGGCCAAAAGAAACAGCAGGGTAAATCCACACACAATACCACTACTAACAACAAATAAAAAACAAACAAGAATAAGCACTCAATGGTCCTTAATTTCCTTCAATATTAATGATCTTAACTCTCCTATAAAAAGACGCAGGCTAACAGAATGGATACAAAGACAGAATCCATCCTTCTGCTGCATACAAGAAACACATCTCAACTTCAAAGACAGACATTACCTCAGAGTAAAGGGTTGAGATAAGATTATCTAGCTTTCTTATACAGCCCAGGACCACCTGCTTAGGGAATGTTGATCCCCACAGTAGGCTGGGCCCTCCGGCATCAGTTACTATCAAGATAATAGCCCACAGACTTGCTCCAGGTCAATATGATCTGGACAGTCCCTCAGCTGAGATTTCTTCTCGGATGACTTGGTTCCTATTGTGTCAAGTTGACAGTTAAACCTAACTAGGACACCAAAGTTCAGCAATCCATACCACTTATTTGATCTGTTTCTTCAAATCTTCATATGAATTGTTTAGAGTTATTTTCTTAAAAACTAAGTCTGTGATAATGTGTGGCCCTGGTTCCTATTATACCTAAATAGTTTAAAATGTTTCTAAACTTTGCATAATTGTCATATGCACATCCAAGTTAAGACACAGAACAACTACTGCCACCTACTGTACACATTCTCTTCAGATGTTGTCAAGTTTTTAATGAAAGTGCACTTACAAATATCTTGTCTCTTTACAACTCAGGGTCTTGCTTTTGCCCATAGTATTGTGTCTTTCTTTCCCCTTCAGTCTGGGGGTTGATTCTCAGTCCTTTTCTGTTGTGAGATTGGCATTTTTGAAAACTCCATATGTTTTGTAGGGTGGCCTTCAGTCAGGTTTATGTGTGACCTCTCATGATGAGGCTTGGGTTCTCTACATTCACCAAGGAACTAGTCAGAAGTGGTGTTGTGTCCTTGATGTATCCTTTTGAGAGTACCGTGGTGTGGGTCCCAGGAGCCAAGAGCTATCATACTTGGAATTCACGTATAATTCTGGACTTGGAAAACTGGTCCCAGACTTCTAGCCAAGGAAATCACCAAATGAATTATTTAATTTTAATATTATTTATTTATCTATTTGCTTAGTTTAGTTTAATATTGAGGATCCAACCCAGAGCCAGGCACGTGTATTTTACCTCATTTAGACTGTAGCCTAAGCTCCAGTTTTTACTTTTAAAAGTGAGTTTTACAAGTTTGTTTATAACTTCATTCAACAGTGTTCAGCACTAGCAATAGTGTACCTCATTATCTGTACCTCATTAGCTGACTACAACAGACCCACAAACATTAAAAATCAGTGCTCATAAGTCAGGCTATGGTGGCACATGCCTTTAGTTCCAGCACTCAGGAGGCAGAGGCAGGTGGATCTCTGTGAGTTCAAGGCCAGCCTAGTCTACAGAGTGAGTTCCAGGAAAGCTGGGACTGTTATGCAGAGAAATAGTGTTTAAAAAAATAATAACAATAAAAATAAATCAGTGCTTATAGATGCCACTCTGTACAGAGTGTGATTTTCCCAGACTGGATACTGTTTTCAAAAGAAAGTGAAGTCAGGTCCTTCAATGTCAGCACCCTGGGATCTGGATATCAGATGGCTCCCTTTTTTGTGACTGTTAACTTGGGGATAATTACCTTTTCTTACTCTTTGTTTCATAAATCTTCAGCTCCCATCTGTGGATGGAGAACTCAACACTGTTAAAGACATCTCCAAAACTGATCTGGAGAGCCTCGTCAAAAAGGTATGCTCCTTGGAACAAGAAAGGTAGCTGACTTCATATCAAGGGCAATCTAACACAAAAACATAGGAAACTGTGAAATTCTGTGACTGTCCTGACCTCTGATTTCTTGGGTTTAGTTGTGGGTGTAGGGTAGCACTCACCTTATTCCCAATACAGAGAGATGTTCCACTCTGCCCAACAGCTGCTGTACCAGTTTCGTTTTATTTCCTTCCTAATTTTATGCTTTTCCCCACTATGCCCTCAGCCTGGCACTCAATTCTTTCTCCTTCTCCTTTATCAAGTCACTTAGTATTTTTAGCCTTCATACACTGATCTTTTACTTTTTTAAAGAAAGCTAAACTAATTTTATTGTATACATTTACCCTTTGAATGTCTTTGCTCAACATCTTCGTTGTCCCAATGAGGTATGGTTCTTATTTCCTTGGTGCAAACAGTGGCTTTATCTTTCTGAGTTTTCTGCACATTTTATATTACTTGTCTCTCAGCTGTTATCCAAAGGAGTTTCTTATAGGGTGAAAGCTTTTAAGATGATCTCTGATTTATTGAGTTAAAAAAACATGGTGTCAACCATAGCACACAACTCAGTGACAAAGCACTTCCCTAGCACATGCAAGGCCTGACTTCAGTCTCTAACACACACACACACACACACACACACACACACACACCAAACAAATAAACAAAAAACCAGCACTTTTTTCTAAAGGGTTTTGTTTTTAGACCCTTGATGGTAATGTTAACTTCAATTTTAAGATAAATAGTACGTTTTAATTTTATTTCTCTACTTGATATAAAATGGAGGATAAGCCAACTGACCTTCAATTCATTTTGAAATATTTTTAGGGGTATTCGGCGATTGATGAAATACCTGGTAAGGTAGGAGACCAAACCGTGGCTGTCATTGAAGGTGAGAGTCTTACTTGAAGGTCATTCTGTTTCTCTCTTTGTTAATGTAATGATTGGTGAATACAAAGAAATAGCTTGATCTAGTTAAAAAATAATAATCTGTCACTAAACCCTATACAATGAATATCAAACATTTTGATTATCTTATCTTTAGTCAGTGGTGATATAGATTAGGGAAAGCAAACCACCAAACCTAATATTTAATGTTTGTTGCTATCTGGCAAGGGTATCCACTGGGTGGTGACTCCCAGTGCTAGGCTCTTCTAGGCCTAACAACAGTTGCAATTTGGAAGGTAATGTTCTAATTATCTTCTTGGGGAGGAAAGCTCCACGCTCAGATTATTGTATTTCCTAAATGAACTTAAAATGATTCTTACTTATTTTTATGAATACTCTACAGAAGAGTTTGTCTTTGGGGAAGTATTTTCTTTCTGTCCATGGTCTTAAGGTGATAGTTTTTAGGACTCTACAACGGCTTAGAGTTTTAGAGACACAACCTATGCTGAGGTCATCCTAAGGTTTGAAACTACTGTGCTGTGTTCCAGTGAGGATATTTGGGAGTCAGTGTGCAGCTTTGTGCAATGTAAGCCACTCTTTATGCCAAGAAGGGGGTGACCTTGGGCTTATTTGTCTGAAGCTGAGTAAAAGTATAGCCTCTCTTTAAAGATCTTCTCAGGGTTAAGAGCACTGACTGCTCTTCCAGAGGACCTTGGTTCAATTCTCAGCACCCATCTGGCAGTTTACAACCATCTGTGACTCTAGTTCCATGAGACAGGACACCCATAGCAAAACACCAATGCACATAAAATAAAAATAAATACCAAAAACATTTGTTTAAAAATTCTCTTTTAAAAACTTCCATGAGTCTACAAAGGATGGCTCCAGCTAAGACTCATAGCAGCAGTAAATGCATAGCCTGAACTGGCTAGCCCCTGTGATCAGATTGGTGACTACCCCAGTTGTCATTGGAGAGCCTTCATTCTGTGACTGATGGATTCAGATTCATCCAAACATTGGACTGAACCTAGATCAAACATTGGACTAAACTCAGAGAATTCCCCTGAAGAGAGGAAGGAAGACTTGTTGGAGCTAGAAACAGCTATCCTGGCTCTAGGGAACTCACAGAGTCTGAACCAACAACCAGGAAGCCTGCATGGGACTAACCTAAGCCCTCTGCATATATGTGACAGTTATGTAGCTTGGTCTATTTGTGGGACTCCTAGCAATGGGAGCAGGGACTGTCCCCTGTGCTATGGCTGGCTTTTGGGGTGCTCTTCCTCATGCTGGATTGCCTTTCCCAGCTTGAATACAGGTGGAGGTGTTTGGTCTTATGGCAGCTTGATATGCCATGCTTTGCTGTTGCCCAGTGGAGGGTACCCCTTTCTGGACAAATATGGAGATAGGAGGATTGGGGGTGGTAGTGAGAGAGAGAGAGAGAGATAGGGAGGCAGTGGGAGGAGTGGGGGGAGGGGGGCTGCAGTCCAGATGTAAAATAAATAAATTATTTAAATTTAAAAAAAGATCCTCTTACTGGTGTTGCTTTTACCTATTTACCAAGTGGTTTTTAAAATGTGTTATGGGGCTGAAGAGATGGCTCAGTGGTTAAGAGCACTGCCTGTTCTTCCAGAGGACACAGGTTCAGTTCCCAGTACCCACTTGGCAGCTCATAACTATCTGTAACTCCAGTTCCAGGGGATCTGACACCTGCACACAGACATTCACACAGGCACAACAACAATCCACATAAACTAAAAATAAATCATTAAACAAACAAATAAAACCCTGTATTATATGCTTGAACCTGGAGAGTTTGCTCACAACCATCTACAATCCCAGGGCATCTGATTATCTCTTCTGGCTTCTTTGGGCATTGCATACATGTGGTGCAGACATAATGTAGGCAGAACACCTATGCACATAAAACAAAACAAAACTTTATTAAAAGATACTAAAGGCAAGCTCATGCTTTCCTTGGCTACCTACTGCATGCTGAATGTCTTATAGTTGCATGCTTACTAATCTCCATGTTTGGTTTCTTGTTTCCCCCCATGGACCTCTTCTGCCCATACGAGCAGTCCTCTGTTGTAAGTGTGCTACATGCATGAGCAAATCCCAGCGTTTCTGCTGTCATAGCTTAAACACAAGTCAGCATTATCCCAGGGCCACAAAAGTGCCTGTCTATCAGTCTGGATGTCAGTTAGTTTGTCTTTATGTCCTTAGCTCTCATACTTTGGGCCTTGAGTCTCAGCCTGCATTTTTTAAGTACCTACTTTGTGCCAGGTTCTTTCAAGTGCTGGGGATGTGAGAAGCATTAGGCATGACCACTGACTGCCCTTCAGTCAGTCATTCACACAGGTCACAGTGTAGCAACAGAGTATGTGCAAAGTAGCCACAATGGGAAGAGAGCAGGAGGAGCTTTCCTCAAAAAAGGCATTTTGCACATTGAAGCTTGAAGAACACATTTGATTGGAAGGAGCTTCAGCCACCTGTCAGGCACCAAAGCTGACAAGACTGTGCCTCATCGTGTGATGAGAAGGGCAAGACAAGCCACCAAGGAACTGGTCAAAGCAGACTGGCTCCTTGGATCACTTCCATCAAAGTAGCCGATAAAACCTCACAGTTCCTCAGAAGCTTTTGCAGTGAGGTATAGTAGGTAATTACCAATACGGAGTCAGGTAGAAATATAAGGGTATATAATAGGGAAAAGCCTTACTTACAGAGTGAACCAGCCAGCCGGTGGTGGTCTGTACAGCAAGAAGCAAAGAGAAAACGAAACCGAAACGCAGTCCCCCTACTCACTCTGACCACACCCTCACAAGCCCTCAGGTACTCCTGTAGCCAGCCCCTAAGAAGGCGTGGCTACAGCTTCCCCTACAGTGAGGCACCACAGAGTTCTCAGCTGTTTCTAGATTGCAAATCTGTGTGAGAAACACTATAGGAGAGATTCTAGCCATTTTCATATGCAATCACATTTTGAACCAAGCCTCCAGCCTCTACCACTTGCCCAGAGTCCAGAAGAACCCTGAGATCCATTTTCAGATGGCCCTGTTTATCATTGCTTAGCAGTTTCTCTGACCATGGCAATCACTGGACTTTTAACTATTGTGTTTGTTCTTAGCACATCTGACTCAGAACCTAGCCCCTGGACCTATGGGACAATGGTTAGGTGACACAGTATAAACTGTGATCCATGGTCTGTTGGGACAGACTAACACATTCTGAGATCACTTTTCCAAGAAACAATGCAAGAGTCTGAAGCCCATGAATACCATTTCTTCTTATTTTTAGTCTATTTTCTCGCTTCTCTTCCCCTCCTATTCCCTCCTCTCCTTTCCCTCCCCTCCCTCCTTCCTTTCCTTTTCTTTCCTTTCATATTTCTTCCTCTCCTTTCTTCTTCACATCTCCCCCACCAAAAAATCCCTATTTCTTTGACTAAGGGTCTCCCTCTGTGTACTAGGCTGGCCTCAAATTGACTGCAATCCACTGACTTCTGCCTTCCCCATGGTGGAATTAATGTGGACACACTCCAGCCATGCCTCTCTCTTTATGACCATTTCTTAAGTAGGGAGATTTCTATTCTTACTATTCCCCAAATCGTATAATAGGACTTTCTTAAAACAAACAACAGCAAAAAAAAAAAAAAAACCCTAGTACATTACTAAAGAGAATGATGGGTGAACGACTTAACCTACATAAGCCTCTGGGTCGCAGTACAGTGGGAATAAAGCAGATATTGCATCAGTGAGGAAGCAGATTAATATTGACAGAAGTTCTTGGCACGTGGTAGGCACACTGCATTTTAGTCACCTGATCCCCAACTTTGTTTGTTTGTTTGTTTGTTTGTTTGTTTGCAAGATACTAGACGAGGGAGCCTGGCTTGACTTCAGTGCCATCTCGCTAAGTCTGTGCTTACATTCACTGCATTCGCTGCTCCATTTGGCTGTTGCTTGTAGATGGTCTCGGCTCTATTGGTGGTTGTTAAAGAATCTTACTTTGCTAGAAACCTACACAGAACATGGCGGAAACCTAGGTGACTTTTCTTTGTCCCCAAACAAGGTCTCTGTCTTCTATGTTTGAAAGTGAGTAACTGGGGTCCCTTTGTTTTCAGATGTCAAAAAGGCCTTGGATTCCATCAGCTCCAAAGTTGTGAATGTGAGCAAAAGTATTCCTATTGAGGAGGTGCTGTTTGAAGTCTCTGGTTACATTAATAACAGCAAAAGTTACTTCCACCAGGAACTGCCCAAAGTGGAAGAATATGACTCATACTGGTGAGTGCCTCCTTGGAGCTGGCAAATGAGGGGCATGAAGCTTGCTTTGTAAGGGTGTAAAAGTGTGACATAATTTCCAGGATAACATTATAAAAACAAATGGGATAAGGAGACTGAGGCCTATGTGAACAACCTCTAGCTTTGTTCATTTATGAAAGTCAAAGGGGGTTGAGGAGATGGTGTTGCAGTAAATTGCTTGCAGTACAAGTGTGAGGACCTGAGTTTGGATCCCCAGCACCCATGTTAAAAAAAAATAGAGTCAGCAAAAATGGGCAATAGGCATCTGCAATCCTAGTACTGGGATGGGGAGGGGATTGGTGAAGCCCTAAACTTGCTGGCCAGCTGGCCTAGCCAGTGGATGAGTTCTGGCTTCAGTGAGACACCATGACTCAAAAACTAATGTGTGGAGTGTTTGAGGAAGATGGCTGACATCAACCTCTGCTCTACAAAAGCATGTTCAAACATGTGCCATATACCCCAGCACACACATCTGCACACACACTAGGACAGCACACAGAATAAAACTGGAACAATACAGAGATGGTTAGTATGGTTTCCGAGAAATGGTGACATGCATATTCATAAGACACACCCTATTTAAAAGCAAAACTCGGGGACTTGAAATCCTTCAGTCAAATGTTCAACAGTTTAGAATTTTGATGTTAATTGTTTCTTTAATCTTTGTTATTGTTACTAAGCCAAGTGTATATTGAGATTTGGGAGCTCAAAAATAATCAAGAAGGGTATTTGGAAAGTGTTCTCATTGGTTTGTGAAGCAAATACAAAGAGGCTTGTATTTTCTGAAGGGACCAGTTTTTTGTTTGTTTGTTTGTTTGTTGTTGTTGTTGTGTGTTTTTGTTTTTTTTTTTTTAGCTGTGCAATGAGGCCTCTAGTTGGTGTCTGAGCTGGGGGAGGAGGCTGTTGACAGGCAGCTGCTGTACCCAGGACATAAATAATGCAGGCCATGGTGTGTGATGATGGACATTCTAGACAGAGAATGGAGAGGGAGAACTTAGGTATCCATGAAGCATAAGAGAAGCACCCTTCTCTGAAGGGTGAAGCCCTAGGACTTGCCTGGAGAGGTTAGAGGCTCCCTCTCACCTGGCTCACTTTTTGCATGATGGCACAAGACAAATGCTAAAATTGTAGCCTAGGGGTAGGTGTTCAATGAGCTCACTAAGCATTTTAGGCACAGTACTTCCAACAGTGCGCTCCATATCTGCTAGTTTATGTTTGCATGACTGTTTTGTAGACAAGGACTTTGGGGTTCAGAAAAGGGAAATGACCCCTTTAAGGGCACACTGTCTGGCTACACAATGGATAATCATCCAGGGGCTCAGGCCACATTTTCATAGTGAGACTAGGACACCCCAGCAGACACTGGCCAGACATAGGACAGAATGTCCCTTATAGACCAAGTTTCCCAAATGAAACAACACAGTACATTTGTCTGCCTCTCTTTCCAGCTGCTCTTCCTTCCTTCCTTCCTTCCTTCCTTCCTTCCTTCCTTCCTTCCTTCTTTCCTTCCTTCCTTTCCTTTCTTCTTTCTTTCTTTCCTTCCTCCCTCCCTCCCTCCTTCCCTTCTTTCTTCCTTCCACCAGTGCCCAGGACTATAAAGCTTTCATTTTTTGAAGAAAAAAAATATTTCAGCTAATCATTTAATTTATTAACTCTGAAAGTTCTCTGAATGGGCTCCATGGTTTATTTAATTTGGCCTCTCTGATACCTGGAACAAACATCCCACTGAATGTCTGCTGGTAGCTATTAGTGTTATTACCAAAATTGCTTTTAACTGCATGAGAAGTGTTAGTGGTAACTTCTATCAGGAGCCCCCAAGAGAAGCAGTTACTTCTGTTTTTTAATGTGTATAATGTTAGGAAGCATTCTTAGCCTTGAGTGCTCCTCAGCTGCAGGGAAAGTTGGTGCCCATTTCAGGAATGCCAGAAAGACATAATTGAGGCTCCATTATCCTAAAATGTCTCCCAGATCCATTACAGGATTAAACTTTGCATTCTGTAACATTTGATTTAGGATGCTCATAAAACTTTAAATGTCTCATATATCTATGTGCCACACAGAGTATTTCTGGTTTGGTAAGGAACATGATGCCCCCGGAATATTCTTGGAATCCCGAAGTTTTTGAGAAAAGGAGAGGAGCTTACTGGTTTTCCTCGATCATCTACCCAGACCCTAGCCACAGCTTTCAACACTAGGAAACTTGACAGCACTTGAATGTCTTGGCTGTGTTGAGCCCATGTGATATTTGTGGGTGTCCACCACTACCACTGAGAGAAGATGCCTCCAAACCAAGAGGAAAATGTATTGCCTTGTTGGGTTTAGAAGCAGGGGTAGCTGCCTTTTGCTCATTGCTGCAAGGGGTGAATTACCCAGGGCAATGCTGGGGAGCCTATCCTGGTAGTGAAGACAGGGGAGAGCTGGCAAGCTGACCAATCCTGTAAGTCCCAAGCCTAGAATCAGGTTTATATGTCGGCCCACCCCCAATATCCATCCCATCTGTGATCTGCTGGAGCATGGGGTGGGGATGGGGGAGGGTGAGTCCTATGGATCCAGGGCTCCAGGATCACCATGAAATAGGGCAGCAACAGGATGCCCAGAAAGGGTCCCAGTGAGACCCCAGTGATGGTGTAGCAGAGATCAGGAGCCTCAAACCAGACCAATGATTCTTTGCAATGAATACTCGCATATAAAAATGTATGGATAAAGGAGTTTACTGTGTAACTCGCTGTGCCACACTGCAATTTCCATGACGAGATACTCTCCTTCTTCCTTTTTTCTTTTTCTTTCCTTTTCCCCTCTTTTTCTATTAAATTTCATTTTTTGTTTTATTTTGGGGTGGGGAGAGAAATGGGTGGAATTGGGAGGCGTGATGTGTCAGACACAAAGAATAAATAAAAACAATGTTTAAAAAGAAGCACGGATGAAGGGGGCTTTTGTCATGCAATCTTGCCCTCTGTTGTTAGATGAATAAGACTACTCTAGCCTTAGCCCAAACTCAGTGAATATAGCCATTGGCTGTTTGATGTATAATAACGGGACTGGAGAGATGGTCCTGCCATTAAGGGCTAAGCTCACAATCAAAAGTTGTAGGATAACACTATACTTTTTTTCTTCTTCAGGTGGCTGGGTAGCTTGATTGCCTGCTTCCTGCTGACCCTCATTGTGACCTTCTTTTTCCTGGGCTTGCTGTGTGGCGTATGTGGCTATGACAAGCGTGCCACCCCCACCACAAGAGGCTATGTGTCCAACACGGGAGGCATCTTCCTCATGGTGTGAGTGTTTGCTTCGTTCTGTCACTTGGAGGTAGAAATGTGAGGAGGTGGTGGTACTGGATATGGTATTATGGAGCCTGGAGCCTCTTGTTCTCACATTTCAAGTCTCTGAGTTCACATTGCTTGCATATGGTGGGCTCTTTTTTTAAACCAGCTGTCATGGAAATCATTTCAAAATTGCTTAATACCTATTCTTTCATTATCATCATTCATTCACTCATTTGCTCACTCATGAGAAGCAGAGACACCATTTATCTACTGCTAGCAGTACTGCTAACTTAAACTCCAGAAACTTGATTTAAAGCAAGATTCGCCAACTGAGCACCCTTGCTTGATATTTAGACAAGTAGCCTGAATTAGGGACAACAGTAGGTATCTGTCAGTGGGGAACCACTGGTGGTAGGTGGGAATGACAGTCCCTGCTTTGAAGACATCCATATAAAAGTTCACATATATGGGGAATCTTTACTCTAGGATATTGAGGCAAAGCTTAGCAGGCAAGAGCAGTGTGCACAATGATGGCACCAGAACCTTAAACTGGGATACAGGTGCAGTGGCAATGAATATGCCACCAAGAAGATTAGGTGGCCTTCGAGTTTTCTTATTGAAAATAGTGCTAGTATATACATATGCTAGGGGCTCGAGGGGAAGTAGGGGTTAGAAACTTCTCCTTTGGGAGATGGAGAACCAAACCATCAGCCATATGCTTTTACCCTCACTGCTATGGGAAGGAAGACTGGAGAGCAGAAGCCCTGCATTAGTCTCCCTCTTTAAACATGGAGTCACTATCATACTCAGACTTCTTGTGATCTGTGTGTCTAAGTGCTTTCCCCATAAGGCTCTAGTATCATTTACCTTTATTAATATTAATGTAGACGTGTCTAAAAATAGCCTTAAATGAATAACCTAGGGACTTACAGGATCTGAGAAAGTGCTCCACATGGATGCCTATTTGATCACACACAGATTTAAAACTTTCTACTCCACGACTGGGGAAGTGACTTAAAGGAAGAGCCCTTGCCTAGCATGTGCAAAGCTCTGGAAACAACCTAAATGGAGGGAGGGAAGAAGGGGAGAAGGAAGGGAGGAAGGGAGAGAGGGAGGGAGGGAGAGAGGGAGGGA